CGTTGTAAGAGGCTAAATGTTCTTCTATCTAGAATAGGTGGTCATACACTGCATTAAAAGAACAAAGTCATTTAAAGATCAAATACACATTACACACTGTATTATGCACTCAATTATTTACATGCTACCTCTGAAATTCATTTTTCCACCTAGTAGTTCAGCTCAGTTCAACTCATTTTAGTCAATCAGAACAGACCCTAACTCATTATTATAGATATATAAACCAATCAAGGAAAAGTGAAAAATTGAGCTATGCATGCGAGTGTTTTTTGCCTTTAGAGAGGAATATATGAATTCTTATTATATATCCGGCCGATGCAAGGTATTACCTGAGCAGAAGATAAATTTATGTGCATATTATACATACCCTAGTGGTCGAGTGTATATAATAATTTTCAGAAAGAGATAGCGAGTAAGAGATTTATCAAATATTATTGAGTCTATATATAAAGTGGAATAGTTATTAATAGTGCAAATATATTGTCATAAAAGAAATAAAATAAAAGTGAATAAAACTTGAATAAAAAAAAAAATGAAAGTAGAAAGTATATGCTACCCCCGTTACATATTATTTGCAATGATTTGACATAAAAATAGAGAGAAAAAATGTCTAATCATTGCACATAATATGCAACGGAGGTAGTAGAATTTAAGAAAATGGAGGATTCGTACTAAAATAAAACAAAAGTTGGAACCTCTACTAAAGATAAAGAAGAGAAAGGGTTACTACCAAGTACCAACATACAAGTCTAAAGTTACTTATCATATCACTAATTAATTAGTTTTACAATAGGACTTCATTGATGAATTTTATACATGATTAGATTAGACACTCATCTATTGTAGACTTTCATACCAAGTCAAGATTTTTGGGATTTCATAAGTCACATCTATAGAGGCTCCATGAATTGAGATACATATCTACAAGGAATTTGTGCATTTGAAGGGAGTAGGAAATCCAACAGTGTTGACCAACAACGATATATTCATGAAGGGGTCACTTAATCTCATGCTGAAAGTTGGTCTTGCTAATAATGTTGTGACATTTTAGTATTAATAACGATAGGATATACTCCCTCCGTCCCTATTTGATAGTTACTTGTGGACAATTTTTACGAGAATTAATAAACATGAATAAGAAGTAGCAAAAGTACATTGAAAAAGTAAATTTACATTGGGTATGTAAAAAAAAAATAGAAAGAGAAAGTAAATAAAGTACATCGGAAAGCAAAATTTATATGGTAAAGTTAAAATTGCACGAATATTTTTGCAAATTGGAGAGAATTTTGGTAAAAAAATTAATGTTAATGATACTTGAAAAAACCAAATGTGACTAACATATTGAGGCCTGAAAAATTATATAGGTGACTATCAAGTATCAAATAGGGACGAAGGGAGTATAAATCAGTCCCACCTTCAACTTTAACCATAAATTTAATAGTTGAGAAAATCCTATATCATTGTCTCAAAAGCTAACATAAGAAGAAAGTCACGGAAACGATCCAGAGAATGTTTAGAATAATATACATCTTCACATTATTGTGGATAATGAAAATTAAAGGAATCAGCTCAGCTCAGCTCAGCTCAGCTCAGTCAATGAGAACAGGCCCTAAGAAAGTTCTTTACTTGATAAAAAGACCGCCCAAAATTTAATTGTTCGGACAATATAAGGAAAATAATAAAGACCTATAGAGTAAAAATAAAGTAACCAAAATATTATAATTTACGATGAAAAGTTGAAATATAGCATAAAAAATAAAAATAAAAACTTATTGATGCATGAAAAGATACTCCGTATGTATCAAGGTTATAGACCTACAACAATAATAATACCAATCATAGTGAGCAAGACGCTACTAGCAAGTAACAAGAAGACAAGATACTAAAGTAAGGAGGCCACAATACCTGTAAACATCCGCCATCATACAAGACTAAGCCAATAACCTTTGTTTTTTTCAACACTGGTAAAATTTCTGTAGTATAGTAACTTGGCAAGGCAGATCGTGTAGGCTTAAAAGTAGGAAACTGTTTCTTCTTTCTAGCTTCTTTCAACTTAGAAGGCAAGGTTTTTACAATTTTAATATCATTTTGCAAAGCTGCTCGGAACTGCTCCTCATTGTATATGTACGAAAAGCTACTGTACTTTGAGCTGGAACAACATGCGACAAAGAAAAAATTTCATCATTTGGATTGATTGATTGATGAAACTATAGGCATCGCAATATTTAGAAGGAAACTAATGAAAATAATGACAAAACAAGGGAGAACCTGATGCCTTTAGACTGGAGACTTTCTTGAATCTCTGGGATGACCAAAGTCGCATTCAAAAGTCTAGCTACAGCAACAAGATCAGCAATCTTGCAAACAAAAAACAAAAACCTTATGGGAAAAGGAAAAAAATACAGCCCAGAGATGCATAGAAAACTTCAACAATATATACCGAATTTCTTATCTTCTCAAATCCACCAAATATTTTCGCATATATAAAACCATTGCTCCGGACAGGCTCTACAACAAGAATTAAAGATATTTCAAGATCAATATAAAATTAAGAAATTGAATGCAGAAAGTTTCAGAATGGAGGGAAGGAGCAAATGTAGTAACCAAACCCTTCCCAAAAAAATTCAAAATGGGAAAGAAATGTTCATCATCATCAATAACAATAAGTAGTGCATAGATAAGAACAATAATTAGCGTATGTCAAACTATGAATTCCTTTACATAATATACAAAATTCGACATTTGCCCACGAAAAAAAGGCCACTAATTAGTGCATAGATAAATACAATAATTAGTGCATATCAAACTATGAATTCCTTTACATAATATACAAAATTCGACATTTGCCCACGAAAAAAAGGCCACTAATTAGTGCATAGATAAATACAATAATTAGTGCATATCAAACTATGAATTCCTTTACATATACAAAATTTGACATTTACCCATGAAAATAAACCATTAATTAGTGCATGAATAACACCAAAAATAACAAATGCTACCAAAATCTGAAGAGCCAATTGAGCTACAAATTTGAAACTTCCTCATCAACTAAAACAAATACAATATAAAATGCCCATCAAAATATTTTACCAGGAAATGAAGTTCTAGGATTAGAATAAGGCTGTAATGACTGAAGAAATCTCACATTTGCCCACAATTTCTTGTACCCCAAGACCTGCACCAATCAATAATCATCAAAATCAATTTTTTTTAATAACACCCATCAATTATAATCTAATTCTAATGCAAGAACAATAAAAATTAAGCAAAATTAAAAACCCATAATTTAGTTTCAAAGCAAGAAAAACGATCTTACCGGGCCAACACTAACAGATAAATCATCAGGGAAAACAGTGAAAGTAGCAGAATGAACAACATCAACAGTAGAATATTTGGCAAGAAATAAATGAACAACTAATGAAACAATGGATAAGATCAATCCTCCTAAAGCTGCCCATTTGATTTTGGATCTGAATATCATAATTATTTTCTCAAATTTGAGATCTGTAAAAACATTTGAGTCAAGAGAGAGAGTGTTTGAGGGAGTGTGTCGATGTTTTTCTTGCCGACTCTCTCTCTTTCAGAGTGTGGAAGGAAGCAAAGAAGAAAGCAATATTCTTGAATTGTTAATGTTAATTTTTTCTGGAAGATTTGATTAATTAAATAATTAATCCCTGATTTAGATGACTGGGTTTGTAAGCAACAGATTAAGATTTAATAGAAAAAAGGTATACACAAATACACAATACACTCGTGATTTGTGATGCGAGCTGTGGGTATTCAAATTTCAGCAATAAATGAAACTATGATCTATGAATGCATGGAAAGACGATTTTGTATAATCGTATGTTTTCTTTACAGGCATAGAGAGAGTCGTAAAAGCAAATGATATACTCGTAATTCATATATAGGATTTGATTTTATGTTAGTCTGAATTTAATAGGGTTCTCGAATAATTACTTGTATTTCATATATTATATATTTATATTATAACAAAATAAATCTTTGGGCAATCTATTAGCGAGTTATATTGTATATTTTATCACCACTTTTTTATATTCTCTTCGTTTTCTAATATTGGTCTCATTTAAAAATTTTGACTATAAAAAATTAAAGAGATTTATCTAAAAATTTTGGAAATCTTTTGAATTTCTCTAAATGTATAAAAACATTAGAAAATGGGGGAAGTATTAATATACTGTGTAGGTAAGATTATAACGCTAGAATAGTGTTTCATTCAACACTTGATTAACTTATGGTAGAGGTGATCAAATTAACTTCACTCAAAAACTATAAACATAGAATTTAAACAATAATGACTTAGGCTAGGGGCTACGGCATTCAATTTTAAACATATAATGTGATGCAAGTCTAGTATTGAAGATGTAGTATTTGGTACATTTGAGTATTTGACCTCCACTTTTCGACTAAATATACGTAGTAGTTAAGATTATGACGTTAGAGTGTTAAGACTTGTGGTAGAGATGATCAAATTAACATCACTCAATAACTATAAACATAAAGAGTTCTACAACGATTTAGGCAAATGCAACCGATTTTTAACTTAATTTGAGGGAAGCCCAAAGCAAATCTAGAATTGAAGATGTTACCAACTTATAGTTTGATAAATCATAGCTCTGACTTTTGCGTGTATACAACTGGTGTACTAACTGGTAACTACAAGTGCTTGACAACCCTTTGACAACCGCCTGAAAAGTGAAAACTAGGCGGTCTCATTTTCGTATCTTGAATAAAATCACATCTCAGAAGCCGCCCAAAAAATCTTTGGAGTCTAAGCAGTTTAAGAGAAATCTTCAGTCGAGGTCATCACCTTAGCCTCTTTGGCATCTAAGCACTTTAAGAGAAGTCTTCAAGCAAAAACTAAATTCTCCAATCATATCAACACAATTGAAGAAACCTGTTCCAAAAAAGATATACAACGGGTTTAAAGGCAAAGGGGCAAGTAGCGTATGGACGAAGAGTTCCTGGAACTTATCTGCAAACTTAAACAAACAGCTACAATTCAAAAGCATCACATCCAAGTATCGCTAAATCAAAGAGAGTTTACTACTACAACTCATCAGTAAAATGCACGAAGCATAGCTCAAAATCCAAAGTAGATTCAACATGAGGAAGAATTTAAAGATACAAATTCCAACACACGGAGTATATGTATATTGTAATCACTCTCTAAAATACTGGAAAGGAGAAGTAGATGCATGATAGCAAAACTCTCGAAGGGCTTGAAGAAAACATTGGAAAGAGTCCAGCATTATCAACAAACAGCTACCTCATCTCTAGCGCCTGCGGCTGTGCTTCTTCTTACTCTTTCGATTCTTGCCTGAATCAGAATCTGAGCTGGAGTCAGGATCTGATGATTCAGATGAAGAACTGTACTTCTTGCGTCGACCCTTCTGTTTTTTATTTCTCCTCTTCCTACTCCTCTCATCTTCTGAATCTGATGAGGAACTGTAGCTCGAAGCACTATATGATGAGTAATCCGACCCAGAAGCTGAAGACCTGCTATCAGAATCAGATTCTGAAGCATCACTACTAGATTCTGTATCTGACTTGTGTTTCCTCTTACTCTTCTTCTTTCGCTTGTCATTCTTCTCTACCTTCCCGACCTTCTTCTCTTCCTCCTCCATCTCTTCCCGTTTAATATCAGGATTATCCTCATTATAAGATTCCATCAACTTCTGCCTTAGTTTAGGGTTCTTGAGGATCTGGCTCCTGGAGGGGCGTGAGATATACACCCTCTCATTTTTGCATTCATAAGTCCAATGCCCTGGTTGAAAACATTTTTGACATTGAGAAGCAGCCCCTCCTACAGCGGAGACATTGGTCTTCAGATCCTTTCTCTCACCCAACCTCACTGCCTTCTCAGTACTCATCAAGTACATCTGTCTTTTAGCTTCCTTCCTCTCTTGCCATCTGCTAGGCCCCTCTTCCTTCTGTCCATAAGCATTAACATTTCTGGCCGCAGCAGTCGCTGCTCTCTCAGCTTGGGCTCGGCTGAGACCTTTTGCAGCAGACAATGCTGCAGCTTTTATTCTGTCAGCTGCAGCTTGTGCTTTCTCTTCCTTTTTACTCGACATAGTAAACTCTCTTTTCTCCTATGTATCACAAGTAGCAATAAGTTTCTTATACCATATAGCAGCAAACACAAAGTATAGTCTTTGAACCTGGGAAATCCAAAAAAAAAAAAAAAAAAAAAAAAAGAAAACAAGATGATCAGTAATATGTAATTCACACTAGGTATAAATAAATGGTCCAACAAAAGAAGAGAAAAAAGAAAAGGAAAGGAAAATTCTAGCTGTAATTACAACGATCAAAATATCAATGTTCCAGGCACAAACATAAAATTTCTTGACATAAAATGAGAAGCATTGAGAAAATTAAGGACTCATGTTAACAGAATAATGTATCCAGGAGGAAATTAGTGGAGCATCCCATTAGTTCTCTAATGGCAAGAAAAAGTTCATAAAGAATGACACACCACATGACTTTTAGAAGGTTGCATACTTGCATGTAAGATGATTATGCTACCTTTTCCCGGCGGGAGAGGGGTCTATAAGGACTATAACATGAAGAATCTGAAATTTTAGTTACTCCGGCCATTTCCATTAAACTAACTTATAGGTAATCAGCTATATACTCCGTAACTAAGTACACGCAGCAATTAAGAGTCCTCCTAATGAAATCTCAAATAGTTCTATCATTTCTATTAGTTATTATTTTTTTTTTAAAAAAAAGAAAATCTTCTATGTAAAGCCAGTATTCTGTATGGATCATAAATGTTTTCTACACCATATCCTAAACTATGCCTGAACTATGGAGACTTTCGGCATATGTCCTTTTATTAATCTGCTGCAAAGACTTTTCAAGAAATAATGAATAAGCGACACATTAGGATTCCATTTAAGGACAAAATTTCCTGCTGTACCATTTAAGCTTTAGTGAGAAAAATTCCTGCCAAAGAATTAAACCACTTTTGACTTCCATCTCATAGTTTCCATTATCTTGCAGCTGTTTGATTTATTCTACTCCCAACTACGAAATTTCGCTAAAATTGAAGAGCTAATGTGTCATCAATATTGAATAACATCTAGCTAGCTTCAAGCTCTAGGGCAGTGTAATTCTAAAACATTTTATGCAAGGAGCCACTTTTGATTTTTTCGAATGGTTTTCATTATCTAGCAACAGTTGAGTTTTTCTACTTTCAAGTTTCAATTACGAAGTATGAACTTGCCCCAATATCAAAACGCTTGTGCGCCATACTCATCAAGATTGAATTGCTTCAAGCTTACTCCAAGCTCTATATTACAAATTTTGGCAACATTTTACGCAAAGAGGTTAACGCCTTATAAAAACTGGACATTTACTGTTACTTACTAGCTTTTTATTTCTGCCAAAAGATAAATAGACATCTAATGGTTTTTAGTTCATATTCATTGGTAGAAACTTAATAGTTGTAAGTTAATAAAAATCTATTGAAGTGTACATGAACATGAGCTTACGCCTCACGGTATTTTAGAGCTTTTTCCACCAACAGGTGAGTTCCAATTACAAGAACTCAATCCCAGTAAACCAATCCATGAATCAAAAACAAAATCATTCCCATTTTCCAGTCATAATTTATCCTCTAGTAATCGAATCAATTCAAACACGTAGCCATTAAACGGGAATTATTGTTGAATTGAAAATTAAGTGAACCAAACAAATTTATCAAATCAGTGAACCAAACAAAGGCCTGAAACACAATAGTGATAGAGTAAAAAACATATTCATGGGCCTCAACCATCAGTTTAAACTTTTGGTTGAGTTGGTCCTTTAATATGATATCAGAGTCAGCGTGATACAAAGGTCACGGGTTCGAATTTCATCCACCCCCACTTTCAAGTGGAATATTAAGCGCTGGGTATAAGGAGGGCCCATGCTGCATCCACACTTCTAGCCCAAACGGGCTTTCGTGTGAGGGGGAGTGATAGAGTAAAAAACATATTCCTGGCCTCAACCATCAGTTTAAGCTTTTGGTTGAGTTGGTCCTTTAACAAATAGAACCATATTTGACTCAATTATCAAAATTAGGCTCGAATTAATCGCATAAAATTCTCCAATATCAAAGTAAATTGCACATAGAAAAAATCGAGCTAAAAATCAATCGTTATAATGTTTTATAACTTGAGTAATTACATAACTAAAAGTTCAATAGTCCACCTTAGATGAACCCTAGATTGACTATACTTAAATTGACAGCAGTGTGAAAGTAAACCCTAGATTACGAAAATTGATACGGAATATTCAATGATTTAAAGTAAGAAAGATAAAACCTTACCTCAGAAAATGTATCAATGGAGGAAAGAAAGCTCAGAAGCCGGAGAATTTACAGTACGCTTAAAATGGGGGATAGAGAGCAAGGGGGTGCAGCGTAAAAGAAAAAAGCTCAACGAAAATTAAAAAATTAAAACAAGCATTGACGGCTTGACGTAGCCGCGAACTTCGTATAATCTCCACTCTTAGATCTAATCTAAAATATGAGGGCACTCAGTCAAGCTTCCACCTGATTTTCTCTTTGTAACTTTTTTTTTTTTTTTTTTTTTGATCGGAACTTAATCAAACCTATCTCAACATGACAACATGTTACATTTAAAAATTAAAATAAATAAAAATAAGGTGAACAGAACACACCCTTAACTTAGCCAAAGAAATTTGTATTTTATTTTAAAATTAAAAAATACAATAGCTATATAAGCAAATTAATGGACAAGATTTGAAAGTTTAATTAAAATATTATCTATTTGGGAAATTATTTAAAAAAATATATATTATCTATTTAAAATTAAATTTTATTACCGACGGACGTAAATTTTTTGTGTAGAACGGACTCACGTAAGTCCGGTCATACAAACAGGAAAAAAATCTTAATGGTCAGAAATTATATTATAATAGTCAGATACTTCATCGGTTCTATTAATATTGTAACAATGGACTTTTTTGCACTATTCATCACTATTGTTTGACCATATGATATGATTTATACGTAGGTAATGGTCAAAAATTAGATGATGGATCGGATTGGATGTGGATGATGGATCAGATTGGATGTCGAAAATGATTTTTTTTTTCACTGGTTTATATAAAGATTTTAATCTAAAGATTTTAATTTAATAAAATTGAAATATGTAATAAATATACTTTATTTGTTGCAAATTAATTTTTACAAACAATATGTAGTACTAGTTAGTGCTTCTTTTTTATTTAATAAATAATAATAGATAATGGTAGAAATAACCATAAATTATTTTAGGAAAAATTGACGGGAATAATCCCAACTTTGCTCGATTCGCCCAAAATAATCCCAACTTTTGATTATTTTTTAATAATCCGAACTTTAATGTGAATTTGCTTTCAGCGGTCCCAATCGGTTATATAACTTGACATTACAAGTTACCTAACACGTGTCGGCAATTGATAGGTCAGAAAAATTAAATAAAAAAAAAACCTTTTAGAAAAATAAAAAAAAAACTCAAACTTAGCGGCATCCCCTGCCACCGCCGGGAAGCTGCTGCCGCTGGCACCCCTCCCCTTCCCCGTCCCATTATCGGCGGCCATCCCTTTCCCCACCCATTTTCCGACCCACTAACACTTTCCACATATATTTTCCGGCCCTCCTACCCTTTCCCCCGCCAATTTTTCCGCCCTCCTCCCCTTACTCTGCTCATTTTACGACCCTTCTCCCTTTCTCCCGCCCATGATCCAGCCCTCCTCCCCTTCTCCGCCCATTTTCCGGCCCTTTCCCCTTTCCCTCGTCTTGTTTTCGGCCCCTCTTTAATTCACCATTCCGTTTCAGATCTGGGGGTAGGTGGGTGGTTTCGGGTTTGGTTTCAGTTGGCTGTGGTGGTTTTGGAGTTGGGATGGGGTAGTGGTGGTGGTTCAGGGGTCTGGATGGGGGTGGGGGTGATGTATCTGGGGCTGGGCTTGAGTTTCGGTGGGGATGGTGGCGGTGATTTTTGTAATATTATTTGATTTTACTTTTTTTTTCAATTTGATTAATTTTTTTTTTCATTTTGACCAACCACGTGGTGACACGTGTGCAATTAATCTTAAATAACAAATATTAACCTGTTTAACCGGTTTCAAGTCACTTGGGACTATTTAAAATTAATAAGGTATAAAGTTGGGATTATTAAAAAATAATCGATAGTTGGGATTATTTTGGGCGAATGAGGGAAAGTTCGGATTATTGTGGGCAATTTTTCCTAAATTTTATGTGTTTTTTTTTTCTATCATAAAATTTTCATCCATTAATCACCCGATCTACCCGTTTGTAAAGGTGTTTTGTAATATCCCTCATTCTTGCTTTAAGTGGATTTGATATACTACTCATATCAACAAGATGCATCATCATTTTAGGGAGCTCATATGCTAAGCTACTCCACAGCTAAGCGCCCTTGGCAGGGAATAGTCTTGAGATGGGTGACTTCCTGGGAAGTTTTCTTGTGCTGCGCATGAATGAGGAAAAAATGCGCCGGAAGGACTTGTGTTGGTCTATGAGGATAGTTGTTGGCCCTTAATGCTCATTTCGTTATAATAGGCCCCTCTCTAATTTGTTTGGGGTCGAGGTGTTACATGTTTATTCAATTTTCGATTTGAATTTTGGCCAAATCCAACCCGATCTAAATAAAATTCAGTGTTTAATTTTCAAATCCAATTTGATCCAATCCAAATTAAAAATTCGATTATTTGGATCCGATCCCAAAATCTAAATTAAAATACATTTCAAATTTTTAGGGGCTAAAGTAATTATAAAAATAAAAATGCAATTATAAAAATCTTAGTTGTACATGTGATTAATACAAGTATTGGTAACATAGTTTTACATAATTTATATTAATGTAATTATAAGTATAATTTTAAGTGATTAATATTAACAACCATTGTTTGTAAAAGCATGGTTTCATATTCATTTTTTTATTTTTTTTATCCAAACAAGTTCAATCTGATCCGATCCGAAATCTGATTTTCAAAAAATATCTGATTCGATTCGAATCAAAGTTTGGATCTAATCCGAATTTATAATTCGGTTTGAATTGGATTGGATTTCGGTTTTTATCCGAATAATGTATACCCCTACCCCCTTTTTGTCCTGTCAATGTCTAGCTTAAGTTCGAACCGTTAATCTTGTTTTTAAGCTGGGTTTTAATTTTGGGTGGTAGGGTAGAGAGAGGTGGGTTTCGACGGAGTTTCAGGTGGGGTGGCTAGGGGGAACGAAAGGAGGGGCAACATGGGTGGGGCTTGGGGGAAGGGGAAACATATGGGCTCCGACAGCTGGCGTAGGTCAGGGCTGGCGGTATGGGTGGCTTAATTTTGACTTTTTTTTCATTTTTTTAAAAATTTTAATTAGGACTAATCAAGGCTTGACATATGTCAACTAACCAAGTATAAAAGTTCATTGACTTTTGTTGACCGGCCATGACATGTTAAAAGATAACGCCCCCTAAAATAGAGATTATTTAAGAATAATCAAAAGTTTGAACTATATAAAGTAAATGGCCCAATTTTGAGATTAATAATACCAAATTTTCCAAATTTATATTACGACCCTTATATTAATATCTACTCCATATATAACAAAATATTAAATTTATCTTTATTGCGTTAATAGTATTTTTTTTAAAAAAAAAATAATAAAAAAAAATTACAATCAAAGTTAATATATGAATAGTGAAAAAAGGCCACTGAGACGATCTTCTCTATGTCTCCAAATGTTGCTCCCTTTGACTTTTCAGTTTTTAAGACACGTTTTAAAGCATGAACATCTTCAATTATATACGCATAACTAGGTTAAAATTCCGTGTAATGCACTGTTGTTAAATATTTTTGACAATAATATTACAAAATATAAAGTGTATATATATAAGAATATTTTATTTAGTTATATATGGAATATGATTGTCAAACTGGAAAGAAAATATCATGAGATATAAATAGTTTACTTAAAGATCAATTTTGAAAAAAAAAATAGAAACGAAAAAGGTGGGAATTTTTTTTACAAGTTAATGACAAGTGTCATGGAAGGATTTGCTTTTAGTATAGGTTAATAGATAGATAGATTGCATAGCAAAGGAGCCCTAATTTAACTTCATGATAAACAAAAATGGTTTATCTACTGACATTTTTATAAATAAATCAACAAACTATCCCAATTAGCATGATATTTTTGTAAATGAATCAATATTATATCAGTAGGACCCGTATTTAATAAAAGTTGTTGACTGTAACACCCTCAAATCTCCCTCTACGAAAATACTAGTATAATACATATAATTATACCGTAGAGATAGACTTAGGCGTATTACCGCCGCGTGATTACACAACGCTACTAAAAAAAACTACTAAACTCAATAACAAAACTTGCAGCAGAAAACTCAACTTTCTTTTCTTAATACTTATAAAAATAGCAACATTGTTATGAGTACTCAAAATAAAAGCAAAATCAACATTCCTAAACTAGGTGAAGCAAATCTCGAGACTCTCATGTGCTTATTCATGACTCCACCTGTAAATAGTCAACACTGCTTATCGTTACGGTAAACAGGGCGAACCAAAACAAATAGGAAATATAGATTAGCAAAACATGTCAAGTACAAAAAGTGCAAGATGATGTAATCCAATTTATTTGCATACATGCTTTTAAAATCAATTCCAATAATTCCAAACTCATGATTCAAAACCAATTCTCAATATTCTCAAAACAATTCCAATAATCCACTAATTCAATAAAAATGATTAATAGAAGCAACTCCTCTTTTTAAACCCAATTCCAATGAGCCAATATATTTTATTAAGAATAAATAATAAAATCAATTCCTCTTTTAAAATCCAATTCCTCACCCAAGTTTGCACACCCTCCCCCCCTTCCCAAGCTAGTTTCCTTATATATTACAAGGCTATTCTTGAGGAAAGACTCGGTCATACAAAGTCCCAAGTCTTATCAACCAAATTCACATAGTGGAATTACTATCAACATGCTTGTAAAGCTTTAATAATAATAATTCAATAATTCTTCTTCAAATAAAATCAACCTTTATAATAGGTTAAAGGAAAAATTGCAAAAATTATTAATACAACCTTTGGCCGGGTCTTTTTTAATAATACAACCTTTGGATTATTCCTCAATATTACGACCTTTAAAGGGTATTATTAATTTTAAACAAGACAAAATACTTGTAACTTGCTAAACCAGTTCGTTGCACATGACACGTATTGTTATGCAATTTGTTTAAATATTAATTTTTTATTTTTAATCATTGATAAAACTGTTTAACATTTAATTGATACCTAGTTATAACATTAATTATGATTTAGTATTTATAAGAAAATTATTTTAAAAAAAAATAAAAATTTCACCCATCCCCTCCCCCATCACCCAGCCACCACGTCTTCCACCACCCCGCCGCCACCTCTTCTCCCCTCCCCACACACAGCAACTGCTCGACGACGCTACGACCGACGCCCGGCTTCGCCGACCAACCCACCATCTCTTCTTTTCCCCTTACCCCAACCTCACCCTTCCCCTGTTGCACCACCATACT